CACAGAGATGAGTTGAAAAATGGCATGTCCTTAACCGAAAGTTGCTTTTATCGAAAATGTTTTTTGTTTCTAGCATCATGATGCCTCCATTTTCACTGCTGTCATCTTTCCCCACCATTATCATGTGCTGCTGAACTTGAAGTAGGTGCAAAAGAAAAAAAAAAACATTTTTGTACAAAATCTATTTTTTATGAAGAGATTTGTAAAAAAGAAAAAAGTATATCAAAACAAATTATTAAACATGCTGTAATTTTTATGGATAACAATGTAGGTACAAATAAAATCTTGTTCATCAAAGTTAAATGCTTTTAACTGTTATACACCATGTAAAGATCCAAGAGTGAAACTGAGTTTCAACTATCAATGTTTCATACTGTCTTTTTCATCTATTATGGCTGCTTTTACACAGGAACAAAAAGCCTAGCAAGAGATGGAGGTAAATATAACTTTTGAAAGTCACAACCGAAAGAAATATTCGGTCTGAAACTCTGTTTCTGCAGCACGATTTGGGATAGGTTTAAAGTATGTTTTATTTCAACATTATATACAATTACTACTGATGATATAATAAATTAGTTTTAAAAAAGTATTTATTTGTACACGTTTTAACAATTGATGCTAAAGTCATTTTTAAAATGCTTGAATTATCAATGGAAATAATTTTTTGAAAGTTCCTGAAGTATTGATTTAAAATTATTTTGAATTTAAATCTCAATGTTCTTGTGTAACAGCAGTCCTATACGGCTAATTCTACCAATTATATCTAGAAGAGAATAGCTTTCAGAGCCACAATTTGCCCTTTTTGTGGATGAATTGTCACCTTTGCATTCTAAAAATTGACCTCATGTTTAAACGGCAACAATGAAATATCAGACTTTTATTTTATTTTAGTAATCCTGTTTGGTTAATTGAGCTGTGGTAAATTTAGGATGTAGCAATTCGGCAACAGATTTAAAGGCTCCCTTTCTAGCGAGTTAAACGACACAAGAACTTCAAGCAGATCGCTCTGTCCTCCAACATGATTATACGGGAAACACAGTGGGATTGTTACAAAGAGTTAAAAACCAGTATGTGAATGCAGTCTCACAGGCTGCAGTTAAGACTCACTGTTTCTTTCTAAAAGATATTTTGGAGATATTATTTGCGAATAAAGTTTTTTTTTATACAATAACCCAAGTTGTCCTCTATAAATTGCTTGAATCACTGTCATTCTCTATGATTACTGATATGATTATATGGCTTTTCTTTAAAATGCATGTTGGGATCAGTGTGCACTGTTCTTGGGTAGTGGCATACAAAATTATGTGGATGTATGTTCAAGGGTTTCAGGTTGCCTCTAGATGGCTAATTGCACAGGCCTCTCCCTGTGTGGGTATATATATATACATATATACGGTATGTGTGTATATATATGTATATATATATATATATTTATATTTGTGTATATATATATATATATATATATATATATATATATATATATATATATATATCGTTAGACCTATTTAAGGGGGTGGCTTCAGTCATCCTTTCTTTAGCATTAGCCACCCTATAATTATTTTGCGATTTAAAAAAAAATATTTTTTTTTCTGTATTTATTTTTTTCCTCATATTTTCCCCAAAAAAAATGCACTAAAGCACCGAATAAAAGCCATAAAGAAGACAAGTTAATCTGAACAATCATAGGCGTAACTTCCTTAAGGACTG